GCATACCATTGTTTCAAAAAGGTAAAGATTTCTGATATATTTGTTTCCAGCCGGCACCATCTGTCAAGACATAGTGCCTACCCCTGAAGAGTCTGGCCTCCACTGTGGGCTTGGCCGGTGCATCTTTGAGCCATCTGAGCAGTGGGGCTTGGGTGCCAAGGCAATATTCTTACAATGACTTTTGCCACATGGTTCACAAATTGGTAGGACAGAGCACCAGTTTTGTTTTCTGCTAAATGTGCTGCTTTGCAGAAAACTATTCCAATGACTGATGTCATTTGGAGATCCAGCAGTTGCTTTTTCAACCCTGCAAGGCTCCAAATTACCAAGCTCCTGGTCAGCTCCGACGGCAGACACCATTAGCACAGCTGCATCCCCTCTTTTTCCTGCTCCTATACCAGCCAGCAATAGCCTGAGCCCAGGTCTCTTACAGGATTTTGCTAAAAGCAGTGAGAAACAGCTAATGTATTTCTTCATTGTGAATTTCTCCTGCCATTTGCTACCCCCGTCCTTGTTTAGCACATGGACTGCTTTTCAAAAAAACAACAGGGGACAGCTGTTATCAAAGCTTTGTTTCTGCACAAGGGTCACCAGTCCCCTAGTCTACAATATTTGAATCCATGCTTCCTGACTACATGCATTAAGCCAATGCTACATGTTAAAGTTCTGCTACTTGAGGCTTGGTTCCCTTGGTCCTATATTTTATATCAGATTATTTTGTTAAAATTAGACTTGCCCATGAGTTACAGAAAATCAAAAATAGCAGTGGCTTAAGCAAGACATACTTAATTCCACCTTATTTTGAGTCTGGAGTAAACTGGTCTAGGGGTGGGTCCAGTGGGGTTCCCTGGTGTCAAAGACCCACACCCTTTCTATCCTATGATGCACACCCATGCATCAGCTCTAATGGCAGTATCCAGGATGGCTGCCCCAGCACCAGCCATCATATCCTCATCCCAGCCAGTAGAAGAAAAGGGGGAAGAGACAGACACATCTCTACATTTCAAGGACACTTCCTGGAAGTTGCCTTCCATTGGTCAAAACTTAGTCAGATGGCCATACCTGGCTGCAAGGGCAGATGGAAATCTTGCTCCCATTCTGGATGGCCAAAAATTCAGGGGTTTGTTTTGTTTTTTGTTTGTTTTGGTTTGGTTTTTTTGAGGAAGGAGCAGAAACAGATACTGGGCAGTCAGCAGTCTCTGTAGACTCACATTCATGTCAGGTGTCGGTGCCATTGTCCTTGTGTTGTCTGTCTCCTAAAGGAAAAGCTAAGGGACCACATCTTCCCTGTTAGCATAGCTCCGTCTGGCTTTGTCCTCCTCCTCCATCTGTGTGGCAGACCTGGTTGGCCTGCGACACACTTGGAGGCACAGGGACTGGACAGGGTGTGTAGTTCACCCACACGTTGCCTCTGAGGGGCCTGTTGCTGCCCCTACTTCACAGGGACATAAAATGAGGCTTCCCAAGGTTACCTTTTTGCTTGGTAACATCTTAACAACCAAGATAGCTTCTGTGTTCAGCCAATCATAAAAGTAAGCAAAACAAACATTCCCGATGAAAAGCTCCATAAAACCAATGAGATTGTTAATGCCAATGGAAACTAAAACTGATGAAATGCAAACTCAATATCTGACATACCGGATGGCAGCTCTCTTCAGATGCTAAGTAATTCAGAAGCTAATGTTCTTAATAAAATCACATTTTCCCTGAAAAGATTTACTATTTCTGTCTTACTACCTTCTTTGCTGTCATTAATAAGACTTGGTTTAGTTCACAAGTATATGTAAATTCCACTGGAAGAAAACAGTTTACCAAAACCTCATGCAGACATTTCTAATGGAAACCTTTCTAAGAATATGATAGATTTGAGAATGAACTTGTGGAGAAAACCAGCCAGGATCTGTGAATGTTTATCAGTTGCAGAAGGTGATAATATATAATATAGACTGGCACCCAAAGGGGAAGGCTGAAGTATTAGATGCCAGGTGTGCTTCATAAACATGCCAACAAGGCCATTTTCTCCACTGGACATTCTCAAGGTCAAAGACCTATGAAAGCTCTCAGAGCCTGGAAAAAATATATACTGGCTTCAAAATATACAAAGGAAACAGCAAAATCAAAATTAATAAATGTCTAATTAAGGCTCTACAAAATGAACTATTTTGTTCTCATTAACTGGTAAATTTGGTATTCATGAATTTTTCATCTGTATTTTATTACTTTTAAAAATAATTCAGTTGGGAAGACCCATCATATAAGAATTCACTGAATTATGCACAAATGCCAAGATTTCATAACCAGTAGTAAATGAAATAAGCTACCCACAGCCAAAAACAAACTTATTTAAAACCTTCCAAAATTTGTTCCACTGTGGCAATGGGTTTGTTTTTAATGCAAGGTGTGGTTACATCTTCGTATGTTTGAGACCATGTGGAATTTCTAAAAAGAATGCCTTCAGCAAGGGATTGGCATACTTTTTTCCATAAAGGTCCAGAGAGTAAATATGTTTGGCTTTGTGGACCATACAGTCTCTGTTGTGACACTTAGCTCTGCTGTGGCAGCTCAAAAAGCAATAATAGACAACACATTAAACAACATATAAACATGACTGTGTGCCAATAAAGCTTTATATACAAGCGCAAATGGTGGGCCACATCCACCCCTCAGCCATCGTTTTCTGACCCCTGCCTCCTATCCTGGAAGGTCTAATGATCACCTATGGATCCCTGCCAACAATCAGACTCAAAAAGTATACTTTTCTAAAAAATCACTTTTATCCTGAACTGCTCAGAAAACTTCCTAGACTCTCTTCTGGATCATTCCAGCTTGAGCACGCTGCCTGCACATCCGTGTGTCAGACTGACATTCCAGGGCTTTGGAGAGGGTTTTTATCTTCCTCAGTTCCCCAAAGCACCAGATGATATACGTGTATAAACGACGTACAAACTATGTACAAACACTTGAGATCTCTTTAAAATAAATATGTGTACAGCTTCTCCAGAAAGAAGAGGAAAGTTTTAATTGTGAGTCAGCTAAAACTTACTGTTTAATATAACACTTCACTGGTTCAACAGCAAATGTATGTTTCTCCTGATTTATCTGGAGCCCGCCCAAGAGGGCACTCACAAAAGATTATGTTCATTAATCACATAATTTTTTTAGAATTTGGCTATAGACTTTGAGATATCCAATATACACATTAAATTGTTCTGATGATAACATTCAAAATGTTGCTTAGCCAGCCTCTGATCTATTACTCAGAAAGAAAACTATTTATAGGGCACATGTCCTACTACTTAAACTTTTTAAAGATTTTTAAAAGAAACTACCCCTCCCCCACATTTCCACTAGCAATAATTAGACAAGTAAAAAAATAAAATGTGTGGTTTTCTTTAAAGATAGAACCCAGTGGAATTCATTCATTCAAAGGCTATTAAATTCTTTCACTTATATAATACCGGTAAGTTAAATTATGTCCATTCATTTTTAAAGCATATACTGCTTATAAAGTTTTAAGCATAATCATTTCTCTCATAAGATTTTATTTACTTATCTACTCAAAAAGTAAAAAGCAATCAATATTTTTTTAATAATCACTAAAAATACTGATCAAAAAAGTTCTTTCACTTAAACTGAAGTAGAATTATAATTGTAGGAATGTAAATAATCACTAAAAGAATCTATTTTCACTTTTCCTCAGTATTATCTGTTTCTGCCAAATTGCTGGGTAATCTATGGATTATGTTTTCATTTACCCTCAAAGCAGGGCTGCTGATGGCAGCAAGGAATCCCACAATTAAGTTCAAGTTTCTTTAGAAAATCTATCTGCAAATCAAACTTTTAAAAAGTATAGCCTGCTGTCTTGCTTTGGCTCAAGGTGTCTGGTCTGAGAATATCAAAGCATTTACTCCAGACTCACAGTTTATTCTCATCTGTGGACTATGAGGAAATGTTTTTTAAAAGGAAAAAAAAAATCCCATGAATATGGTTCGCCCTCCATGAATTGTACCAATTCCTCAAAATACGCATTATCTAGGAAGGAACGCCTGACTCCGGATACATTTCTTCAAGTGGAACATCCTTTGAACCCAAACTGTCCAGCAAGTCAGGCGACAGTTCCTGCTCGGAGGTGGTGACGGTCCCGAGGGTCTCTGCTCTTCACGCTCTCCCTCCTCAGTGTAGACATGAGGCAGGTGGCCTGTGCCATCCCCGAGCACGTCAGCATCATGGAGCCGGGGAAAGGCCAAAGTAAGAGAAGGTAGACGCCGGCTTCTCCACGCACCGTCTGTTTTCTCCAGGTCACATTTGAGGGACACCTTGATGCCATATTAATGGTGGCAGTCCCTTGTCCCCAGCTGTAGCAGAAGAAGTTTCTACGGACTCAGAAATGGAGGCCCAGCTGAGGAGCGAGAAACCACCTTCATGCTTCCCAGCTGACTGCTGGGAGGGCACTCTGACAATCAGGTTAGTATTCGTCCTTGATACCATGACAACAGCCCCTCCAGAGGTCTTCCCACCCCTTCTGCCCTCACAGAGACTCATCCTTTAGGGTCAATCCCTCCACCATCTGTGCCCTGACACCTCCTCTCTGGGCTTTGCACCTGTGTCCCCTTCCCTTGAATGACCTTCCCCCCGCTGCCAGCAAATTCCAGCTCATCCGTCAGGGCCCAAGGCGTCTCTCCCTGAAGACTGCAGGCCGTTTCTGGCCTGAGTGACTCAGTGAAAGTTTGCTAGATAGGAAGATGGATGAGGTCCAAGGGCTTTTTACCAATTTACCTTCAAATACCTCTAGGAGGGCACAGTCTGAAGTTTAGCCATTATATCAGGCATGGTGGGAGTGGGTTTAGCTAGAATCTTCTTCCCCATCACTAGCTAAGGACAGTTCCTGACAGGGGAGCTCATGTAGGATATGAGGACACTGAGAAGCAAAGGACTCGGGGCCCAGGTAGGGGAAGCCCCACAAGAGGAAGCAGAGGCCCCCGAGCCCACCAGGCCCCGAGCTCACAGCCACTCACACCCCCTACCCAACTCCGGCCCCTGCTGCCCCAGCTCCCTGTGGCTTCAGGAGCCCCTCCTGGGCTCTGCACTGAGCGTGAATCCCCGTGTCCCAGCCCCGGGTCTCCCGGTGCCCACCAGGGAGTGCATGTGCCCATTGTTGAATCTACTCCTTCAGATTCTGGGGCGCAGAAGTTCCAGACTACAGGGCGCCGGTGGGGCACACAGGAAGCCCTTGCCAGCCAGCAGACGACACATGCACCCAACTCCAAAGTGTTACCAGTCCTGTCACATCCCTTCAGTGAAGCCTAATGGATAATTAATGATGGCGCTGCTGGCGCTGAGCAAAGCCGAGGCTGCCGGGGAGCTGGTGCTGCAAGGCAGCCGCTCCCAAGCGCCGAGGCTGCCGGTCGGCCAGCGGCTTCCACCCAACTCAGCAGTTTTTGGGCCCCATAAAATCAATAATTCAACATAAGACCCGACTCAGTCAGAAGGCTCACAAAGCAAGGAGCCGGGCCTCCTGATCCGCCCTGTTCTCTCCTGGCACCAGGCCACACAGCTCGGGCCGACAGTGGAGGAAGCCCTGGACCGGGCACCGCCTCGTCCTGCCGGCCAGCAGGCTCTGCACACTGACCATGCACCCCTTGGCACAGCTGAACATGAATAAGCTGCATGACCATGGCCATGGACTGGATTTATGCAGCAACTTCATCCGTGCATGCATGGCATGCTCCCTAGCGCGTAGGAGCTGTTCCAATGCCCCTTTAGAGATGGGAAGTGGGGACTCCAGGGAGAAGAAGGGACTGGGGATGTGGCTCAGAGGCCAGGCGGGCAGGTGTGCCTCAGGCTGTGTCTGTGGTCTCCCAGCTTTGCATGTTGAGCAACTTCCTGCACCTGCATTTCTGCTCTCTCCTCCCCTGGCTGGGGTGAAGAGGGTTTGTGCGTTCATTCATTCTTCAGCCACCAGATGTCAGGCAGCAGTACTGACGTGGCCCTGTTCACAGGGGCTCAGTCTGCTCACAGAGCAGTGGGCAGACCCTCCTGTCTGGGTGGCTCACCCCATTCCTTCCTCACCAGTGACCAGGCATGACGAAGCACCCACAGCAGCCCAGCCCCTCCCCACAGGAGCCTGGGCTGCCTTGCATTCAGGCTCCTACCAGACTTGGAGAAAAGAGGTGTGGTTTTTACCGCAGCAGCCACCAGACATTGTTCATCCTGCAGGGCTGGGAGGGACTAAGCTCCCTGTTGTCTCAGAGCCTCACTGAGACATGGACTTGCCACCTTGGGGACCAGGAGGAGACCTGGCGCTGTGACCCCAGAGCATGCACGGTCTGGTTCTCACCTCCTCAGTCCACAGCACCCATAGTCGACTGTCACCACTCTGCAGCCAGAGGGCAGGCCACCCAGACTCGGCACTGGGTTTCACAAAACAGGGTTCCAGGACCGTGAGACAGAAGGTGAACCCACAGCTGGCACACGGACAAGGTGGCACACAGACCTGACTCAGGGTCTGCAGTCCTGCCCTCACTTCCAGGGCTTGCTGGGTACTGTGGCATCTAGGTAAACCTGCGGAGCAAACAAGCAGAGAGAGGCCTGGACCACTGAGGAGCCCCCCTCTCCACCCCATGGCAGTGGCCTTTGTCACTCAGCACGGCTGGAGGGGGCCACCACCAGGGGGAAGGCTGTCATGGGGAGGGCCCGAGGCTGTGTGCGCGCGCATCCCCCCTCTGTGTGGTGGGAGAGACGCCTGCAGTTCCAAGTCCTAGGGAAGAAGGAAGCTGGAGCGAGGTGGCCAGTGAGGTTTAGGACCCTTCACCCTTAGTAAGCGGCCGAGTCCTGCTGCCCCTGTTCTAACTGCTCTTCCTCCAACCCTTGCTCCCCCACGGCCTGCAGCCTTTCCTTGCTCACGCAGCCCCTGCATCTGGGTCCCTGGGTGTGGGCTCAGGCTGGGGAGGAATGGGCTCAGAGTCCACCAGGTGGGTGCCACCTGGGAGCCCACCAACTCCACAACTGACTCGCTAAGTCAGGGCCACCAGGCACAGGATGCGAGGCCGCCAGGGAGAACTGAGAGTATGGGTGCACCTGGGGGCCTCTCAGGAGGAGGAGGACATGAGAAGGGAAGGGAGCACAGGGCTTTCAGTAGAAAGACCAGCAGAGGCCCACAGCAGTGGCGGGCAGAGGAGAAAGCAGGTAGGGGCCAGAGGTGAGCAGAGGCCAGAAGACAGAGCCTCATGCAGGACCTTACGCCTCAGGGCTGAAGGCTGTAACCCAGGTGCAATGGGTTTAACTGGGTTTTTATGCTGAGCATTTGTGCTTTAAACCACAAAGAGGCTTTTATGGCTGAAGTGACTTCTGGTCATCCCTGGGCTTAGGCATCCCTACAGCGCTCCAGAGGACATGTATGAAAAGTGATGCCTCTGGGAAGACTTTACATGTCCATGTATAAATGTATCCATACAATTGTATGTGTGTATATATCTTTACATATGTATACATACATATATACACATATGCAGTGTGTGTAACTATAAACACACACACACACACACACACATATATATATATATATATATATACATATGTACAGTTGGCCCTTCAACAGTGTGGGGATTAGGGGATGATAGCCAAAAACCCAAGTATAACTTTGGACTCCCCAAAAACTTAACTACTAGCCTATCATGGATTTAAGGTAATAAATGACAAAATAGACTAGTTCTACATATATTTTATGCGTTCATGACATATCTAACTTTTTCTTAATTATTTCAATATTTCTAGCCTATACAGTTTGCGAGGTTTTTCAAATTGCTGAAAATCTCCAAAAAAATTCCCCAAAAATTCCCAATATATTTATAGAAAAAAGCCCTTGTATAAGTGGGCCCACATTGCTCAAGGACCACAGTGCTGGTGTGATGCCCTCACTGGGTGTGGGAGCATCTCCTTTATAAACGGGGAAATGCTGATTTATTCAAAAGGTAGCGCATTTCTCTCTAGTTGAAAACAAAGCAGGGCTGTGAGTCTTTCCACACCTTTCCTTTGCTCAGACACCCATAGGTCAGTAAAAATTCACATCGTGATAAGGGGGAGGGGAGTGGAAAAGAAAGGTCAAGAGATGTTAGAAAAAAGACTAGCAAATGCAAACGTGTAGCCTGAAGTGGCTCGAGATGTAGATTCCAACATGGATGGTACCATAGATGCCTCAAAACCAGATATGCCCATGGACAAGATTTAGAAGGTGACGAAGAGAAATGAAGAGACTGCCTAGATGTAGGAATGGGATTATGGACTGTTTTGCTTTGAGTTTCTATTATTTTAATATAGGTCCTTTGAAAATGAAATAAAATTTCAAAGAAAATAAAGCAAACAATGACCCTCAGCAATGCTTATATCAAGACAGTTCATGCTTTGCAACAGATTTTGAAGTATCAGGTCACCCAATACATCATAAGTGGCGACTTAACTTAGGAAAGGTGTGTGAATGGCAGTTTAGTTAGCCGGTCACCACAGGTGCAATTACCATTTAAGGGCATGTGAAGGGAACCCAGAGATGCACTGAGAACCAGGAGCCACAGGTTCCTGTAAACAGGGAAACAAGATGCTCTCCCCCATGGGCTCTGGTGAAATTCAGTGGGTTGTGCTTGAATTGAGCCCCAGGGCGAGGTCCGTAACTCAGAGCTATCATCCTGCTTATCAGCAGCAATGCTCTGGCTTCTGGAAGCTTGAAGACAAGGAAAGAGACCACCACCAGCTCCCACGGTGTTCCTGTGCAAGTGAGAAGGTGTCCATGTGCAAGCTCTGCCCAGCAGCCTGGCTAGGCAGAATGCTCGCTGACCCGGCCCTGCTCTGCTCGTCCCCAGCCAGGCACCTGCTCAGTGATTTATGGCAGCCCTCAACTAACTCACAGTTTCCAGAGTGGGAACACCTACTACTTGGAGAAGCAGAGATTCAGTGAGTTTAGGCACAGGGCTTAAGTGGCTGAACTGACCAGAGAGGAAATCATTCCTTTTCTAGTTACTTCTCCTTGCTCCTAGTGACCTGGGGCTAAGTGTCCATCTAGTGCCAGCAGGCTTTGATGTCCCTCCCTTTTTCACAGAGACCCTGAGCCTTGGGAATGCAGCAATTTCTACTTAGAATTACTGGGTTCTATTTCTATTGTGTTTATTTTCCACTTAACCTGCTCTTTATACAAGTAAAACTGTTTTTGTTTACAGTTGAATTTTCAGTTTAAGATTTTACAGTTTAAAATTTCCTATTTAAAGACATGGACTTCAGATGGATCCAAGTTTATATAAAGAAAAGGTGTTTTGAAAAAACACTAGTA